CTTTGATCATGATTTATTACCATTTATGTAAAAATCTGCATCCACGGCTCATCTCCCCTTAAGGCTGACCGGAAATCGACACAATGGACATCGACGATTGAATTGCAACCACTCGAGTATACAATTTGCATGAAAATCATGTTCACAAGGTAATTTATTAGCCACAAATACTCCTTTTGTATAATCCTCCATGCAAATCACGCATCCATTACTCATCTCCGTTGATCTATTCGAATCGATTCCATACCTCTCAATGAACACCGCCTCGATTTCATAAACCCTATTCATAATCTTCCGAATCTCTACTTCAATCACTCCTCTATCGCTCGATGATGACGAAGATGTAATAACTTTGTTGATATCGCGCAAGATAGTGGAGATACCGTTGTTGTGAGGCCAAATTAAGTTACGCATGATTTGGGAGATTTTAATGTAACTTAGCGAGTAGTCGTTACTAGTAGTAGTTGTGGTTGGTCTTGAGATAATGGCACTTGTTCCGTTAGGACTACTACGGTCGATTTCCGCGACCACTGCGACGTCGTATGGTTCGTTCAAGGGAATAAGGCCGGAGTAATGGACGATTGTTTTGTCGGGAAAAGGCATTGATGATTTGAATGGTTTGTCGTCGACGAGAGGGTGACAAATTGTTTTGCGGCGGACTTCGGTGCACGTTAGCTCGATGGTAAGCGGCGAGGTCGAGTGCCGGCGAGGATAGATAATATACTGAAAATAAGTGTATTCCGTGAACATGGCTGATCTCTTTGTTGAATAGAGAGAGCTAGGGATTGATTATGAGACTAAGAGTATGTACATTGGTTAAAACCCCTAACGAGATTTTCAACAATTTTATAATACTAAAGTTAGTTTAGAACTCACTAATTATTTTTAAAATTCTGTGTATTCCATTGGTTGTAATCCCAAAGAGGTTCTCAAGAATAAGAAAATATTATTTTATAATTATTTTTATAAAATTTGAAAACATACAACATTTTATATATATTATATTAGCTACAAAGTGCAAAATCAGCTACAAAGTGCAAATCTTCTTCTTTTATTTTTGAAAAATTAAAAAATAAATTAAGTGAAGGTATTAAAACTTAAATCAACACATGTACACACTCATGTATAGCAAAGAAAGATATAGCAGACTTGCCAACTCTAAGGGGTCTCATGTAAGCATGTTGAGTGTACACCTGTGACTTGTCCGTAAGCAAGAAAGAAATTCACTAGCAGCAACTTGAGTTGAATACTTTTAATAAAAGATAGACAGATCACTAAGAAGCTAGGAAACAACTTAAAAAAGATGGGATACAAGAAACGACCAACTATACCATTTAGCAAGAATATCCACAGGCATCTCGTATCCATAACTAAATCGAAATTCAGTTGCTTCATTCCTCGCTTGTTGGACCAAAGACCTTGCATCAGCTGAGACTTTACGTTTTCAATTTACCRTCTAGAGTAATATGCACAAGAAATTATGAAGTGGATCTCTAAACTCTTGAGTTTGTCATAGACCAACCTGTAATCCCAGTGGCTAACAATMCAATGTACTTGGTGATCGGATGATGGATTAARCATCTCTAATCTCTCTAAACTATTCCACAAATTCATAAARCCATGTTTTTCTTCTTCMYAATCAAGATTCTAAAGGAACTAAGAATAGTTGCTCTCAAGATATCAAAATAGTCTGAATGATTCRTGTGTTATTAAACAAAAGAGAACTCTGGCTTTATAAAGAAGCCTTACAACTAACAAGAGAAACTTCAGGAACATAAAACAGAAACAGATTTTACTCAAAACTACTTATTCAAACTTCCTAAGACGACG